TTTTTGCACAGTAGATTATGATACTCTAGTTTAGAGCAGGGGTTCCCAAAATAGGGGCTGGAACCATTATGATGAATTAAAGAATCATTATTTTTACAACTTCAAAGTATAGAACTTCAAAGTATACTTTTCTTTTCTTTTCTAAACCATTCTATTGAGCTTGACCTATTATGGAAAAGGTACTTCAAATAGCCTTTAACCATGTCCTCTCCCTTTAAACACACAATATTTGTTTTTAGAGTTTGAGTAAAATCCATGACACCATTGCTCAGGCAGTCCTCCATTTGAACCCCCACTGCTGTACTGCTTTTAATCATATTCATTTTTTTCCTTGCATAGACATTTTCCTCTGCTCGCTAACAAGAGCTATGAGCTTTGGTATTAAAGTCCTAACGTTTACAGTGTTTTTATGCAGAGGTCTACTATTTGTATTTAATATAATACATCTATTTTTAATCTTTTTGTAAATGTTTAAATCTCCTGTCCTGAATTTACATGCAGCATAGGAACACCGCAATACAGGAATGTCATTCTTTAAAGACTGCACATTTGTCGGGATCTGGCACCTCTGCTCCCCAAACACTGTTGCTGGGCCATGACTCAATAAAATAATAAAACAAAAAAATCTTATTTGACAAAAGCATGACTGATTTTAATTTCAAATTAAAGTCTGAAAATAATAAAAAGAAGATTGGGGCTAATGCAGTAGTTAGAATATGGATAGATTTGAATGGGGATAGGTATATTTTGAAGAATGTTCCAGGTTGTGTTTTTTATCCAGGTTGTCAGTTAAGCAAATCACATTTCTATAGAAAGGTTGTAAAAGCAGCTCTTGGTGCAGCTCAGTGGGACAAAAAAGTATTTAGTCAGCCACCGATTTTGCAAGTTCTCCCACTTAAAATAATGACAGAGGTCTGTAATTTTCATCATAGGTACACTTCAACTGTGAGAGACAGAATGTGAAAAAAATCCAAGAATTCACTTTGTAGGATTTTTGAAGAATTTATGTGTAAATTATGGTGGAAAATTAGTATTTGGTCACTTCAAACAAAGAAGATCTCTGGCTCTCACAGACCTGTAACTTCTTCTTTAAGAAGCTCTTCTGTCCTCCTCTTGTTACCTGTATTAATGGCACCTGTTTGAACTCGTTCTCTGTATAAAAGACACCTGTCCACAGCCTCAAACAGTCAGACTCCAAACTCCACTATGGCCAAGACCAAAGAGCTGTCGAAGGACACCAGTAAAAGAATTGTTGACCTGCACCTGGAAAGAGTGAATCTACAATAGGCAAGCAGCTTGGTGTGAACAAATCAACTGTGACATACAAGACCACTGATAATCTCCCTCGATCTGGGGCTCCATGCAAGATCTCATCCTGTGGGGTCAAAATTATCATGAGAATGGTGATCAAAAATGAGGGGACCTGGTGAATGACCTGCAGAGAGCTGGGACCAAAGTAACAAAGGTTACCATCAGTAACACACTACGACGACAGGGAATCAAATCCTGCAGTGCCAGACGTGTCCCCCTGCTGAAGCCAGTGAATTTTCAGGCCCGTCTGAAGTTTTCCAGAGAGCACATGGATGATACAGCAGAGGATTGGGAGAATGTCATGTGGTCAGATGAAACCGTTAGTATAAACTCAACTCGTCGTGTTTGGAGGAAGAAGAATACTGAGTTGCATCCCAAGAACACCATACCTACTGTGAAGCATGGGGGTGGAAACGTCATGCTTTGGGGCTGTTTTTCTGCTAAGGGGACAGGACGACTGATCCGTGTGAAGGAAAGAATGAATGGGGCCATGTTTCGTGAGATGTTGAGCCAAAACCTCCTTCCATCAGCGAGAGCTTTGAAGATGAAACGTGGCTGGGTCTTCCAGCATGACAATGATCCCAAACACACCGCCCGGTCAACGAAGGAGTGGCTCCGTAAGAAGCATTTGAAAGTCCTGGAGTGGCCTAGCCAGTCTCCAGACCTCAACCCCATTGAAAATCTGTGGCGGGAGTTGAAAGTCCTTGTTGCTCGGCGACAGCCCCAAAACATCACTGCTCTGGAGAAGATCTGCATGGAGGAATGGGCCAAAATACCAGCTACTGTGTGTGCAAACCTGGTTAAGACCCATAGTAATCGTTTGTACTATAACCTTTGTTGGCAATAACAGAGGTCAAAGTAATGAGTTGAATTTTTGTTATTGACCAAATACTTATTTTCCACCAGAATTTACAAATTGACAATGTGAATTCCCCAAAAATGTTTTCACATTCTGTCTCTCACAGTTGAAGTGTACCTATGATGAAAATTACAGACCTCTGTCATTATTTTAAAGGCACTATACCCGTTTCTGCAAGGTTTGAATGTTTAGCACCGCCCCCCAACTCGCTCAATGGCTTCTCATTTCCCCTACGCTCTCATAACACAGAGCCATCTAGCTCAATTTGCGATCTGATATGTATGCTAACATTAGCATGAGCGCAACTTCTTGTAAGCTGTACAACAATCACTGATGAAATTGTACTAAAGCAACGCACTGCTAACACAATATATAGGTAAAAGAATACCGCTAGTTTTGCATCTGAATGCATTCATTTAAACATTAGAATATATTTGAGTATTTAATTATAATTTATTATACAGCTCCTCACAGCAGCAGTAGAACACTCCATTGACTTGAATGTAATTCTACCGATCATTTTTTCTTTAACAGAACTCTCAAACCAATAATGACCTTTGGCAACGCAATCTCTGTTTGTAATTCAGGTGTAAAATACTAACATTACTCCGCAAGTACAATAAGCCGCTCTGCATAGACAACACAGTTGTCAATGCAGAGAAGCTAGCCGAGCTAGCCACGCTCAATAAACAAATACATATCAATAAACGCCATTAAATGTTAATCGGACAGTACAGTATACATATAGATCCTTAACACACATGCGCGGCCGTTTTCAGAATTTGTTAACGTTTTCATGACAAAAATACTGTTTTAATGTGACAAAAAGCGATTGCGAAAAACCCGGAAGTAACCATTAACATGAAACGAACATTTTAGGACACATTTGAAGAGGATCTGATGGCTTTAGGTTCGGTATATAAATGGGTAACTCACCGCTGATGTTCAGAATTCTTTGTTCAGTTTTCATGTAGTTCTAGAGTTTTTAAACTAGCTAGCTTAGCTGTTACCTGCCTAGCATGTCCCGGTGAAACCTTTGGGAGCTAACTATTTTATTTGCAGTCATTAAATACATATAGTTGTTCGAATACATATATATATTTATAATATATAATTTTTTTTATTTCTGAATTATATTCGAATTTTGAAGCCGAAGCCCTAGCAGTGCTGTAGGGGCTAGAGGACGCAGGCTGTTCGCTGCTCGTTCTGTGAGTGGAGGAGAACGAGCGTCCCGCTAAGACTCTGCTCAGCACTTTTCACGGCCGTAACTCATACACCGCTGAATCAATTACCTCAAGTTTTCAATTAAATTATGGATTATAATACAACTTGTATGTATTAAAAAGCATTTTTATGAGCTACTTAGAAAAAAAATCGGGTATAGCTTCTTTAAGTGGGAGAACTTGCACGATCAGTGGCTGACTAAATACTTTTTTGCCCCACTGTATATGGTTCACATGATGTTATTTTAATCTGATAATCTTGTGACTCTTTCACCCTGGTTGTAGCTCTCAAAGTGCAATTGAGTTGTTTTATATTGAGGATGTGGTTTTTTAAGCACACATTTGTATTTGTTGTAGAAAATGAGATTAACTCAAAGCTTGAAATCTTCCATTATCAGTCATTGCTCAGCAGTATACTCTTCTAACCAAAGTCACTGTGCAGCTGGTTGTAAGCTTTACAGGAGGTGGAGACGTTCTTTCAAGCAAAACAGGAAGTAATTTAGTCCTTTTGTTTCCTTTTTGCACTTGATTCCTTAGGTCTATGGACACCTTTTTGTTGCTTTATTACTTTGCACCCTCAGTGGAAGAAGTCCCATTTGCCACATGTTAAACTGAGAAATGTCATTTTCTGGAACTAAAAAAAAAAACTGGAATCTGTGTGCAGATAATAACTATTTTTTTTTCCTGCTGTAGATACTGTGATTTTTGTTTTGGGTGGGTCAGTGTTTATTGTTGGATCTGATAGTCATTGTCTCAGGGAGCTCAGATTGCAGGCTTTTCATTTCAGCCAGAGTTGGAATGCGCCCCTCACTATTTTGGTCCTGAGTGACACTAGTGCTGTATTGGCGTACAACCGGAGTATTTTCATCATGGAATATGTTGTATTATAAATTGGTAAATCTTTCCTGATTTTTCAAAATGATACTGATATGATAATGATATTTAAATGTGTTGATTTTATCTCTGTGCAGCACTTTGGAAACTTGTTTTATATATATATAAATAAAGTGGATTGGATTGGATTGGATACAAGTAGTACTTTCTTTCCAAAGTTGAAAGGAAAGGTGATAGTCCCTAATGGGGAATTTATGTGTCCTCTGCATTTAATATAGCCTTCCAATGCCACTTGGGCAGTGGTCAAATCTTCAGGTTAACTGGCTCACTTGATGAAATAGTCCGGTTGGCTCCTGCTTGGTTGGAATGTATACCTACTACCAGGTTTACTGATTCTACAGTCAGTTTTTCTTTGTCAGTGGACATACCCCATTGTCAGAATTCAGTGATGGCTACATATGAACGATCAAGGGCATTAGGTTGTAATGGCTAGGCAATAATTTTATTGAATGGAGGGAATTTATTATTTAAATTGTTTCAGGCCTAAATGTCGCCTCAAATTGGCTAAATGAGTGGTCAGAGAGAGGAAGTGTCTTCTGACGATGAGGGAGGACAAACATGCCCTCTGTGGCATCCTGTAAACCATTTAAGGAAAAGCATGGTTAATAAAATGAATAAATAATAATATATATGTTATATAAATATATATTATTTTGTTACTATAATAGTCAATGTTTCAATATGAATTGTTTGTGATGTTTTTCTTGTTTCAGGAGATGTCCAGACATCGGGAATGAATGGAGGCGCACAAGGAGTTGTACTTGCCAAGGTGACTAACTATAACATATACACAAACATTTTTATACTATTCAAATAGACGAAAACACCAGGAAGACATGTACATTGCAATAACAACATACAATAAAGGACATAGAGTGGTGGTGATGGTGTGTGGGGGTGGCAGATACATAAACTTATATCTAGTGGACCCCTTGTGGATCCCTTTGCTCACATGTTTCTTTCCTTGTCATTGAACACATTTTATCAAGCTGATTCAGGCCAGTTGCATCCTGCCAGACTTGTTGAAACTCATCTCTGGTTTATGTGGGTTGGTGGTGCTTTTAATTTCTGCTTGCTGTGTATTCACAGTCAAACTAATTTATTGAATACACACACAACTCCAGGAATAGCTGAGCATTACATGTCAAAACATGCCCTTTCTGTTGTATTTCATAAGGAAATGTTGAAATCCTGCAAGTTTACATAAAAAAATTTGCTTGGCACTTTTCAGTGCTATCCTGAGCTTTTAGAGGGGAAAAGAGGAAGGACCTGTCATAGCAGATCATACTAGCCTTTAAAGGCAGGCAGAGAGGGTAAAAGTTAAATAGTAGATACTAGGGGTCGACGGATATATATGAGTAGTGGTCAAACAGGCAGATAACCGATAATGTGGATAAATAAATGTTCATTTGTGTTTGTTTAAATGTCTGGAGCTGATGCAGTTGAATGGACAGATGTCTTGTTATTTAAATTACAACCTTAACTAAAGTAATCAGTTTGTTCAGGCCATTTACAATAAGTAATAAAGTTTATTTTATCTTTGAACTGTTGGTGGATGAGGCACAGCTTTTGACCAGTAGGCTGGACTAGATTAAGTATTCGTAGTAAAAAAAAAAAAAAGGTCTGATACTGTCATACTAACGGTAGTAGTGAAACATCTGCATGTCTCAACCCGTGTCCATAGAGCTGCAGTCGCGTAGACTGCTCCCATCCTCCCTGCACTTTTCCTTCTTCAAAATAATACACTGCGACCACTGCTAATGACGAGCTGTCCTCTGCATTTGACCCATATTTCACTGTCACTACGGCATATGTCTTTACTGGGACAATGAAGTATACCTTCTCCGTAATATTAGTTTTGAAAAGATCTGTGAATTGGGTTGTATATTTGCACTTATCTTATTCGTCTGGATTGGTGACAGATGGAATGGACTTTTCATAACATGAACCTTGAGAAGGTCACATACAAGGCAGGGCAGGAAGGACAGTGTTGCACCAAGCTCAGCTCCACTCAACCAGGAAGGAGATGGAGTTCTGTATCGATGTGGTCCGGAAAAAACGCCCCTATCGTAAACCTGCTCTTATATGATTTCAATCTTTTGGAATATTTAGAAAATTAGGTTTTATATGTATTTATACAATGCAGCCGATTGGCTGAGTGTGGGCTGGTTCTCTTTGTCACTTAAAATGCCACAAATGCATGCATGTGAAAATTAAACATAAAAAACAAAATGCAACGTTTTGTGCTTTTAAAAGTAGTCGCACCGCTTCCAGCATTCTGTTTCCAATTTTATTCTCCATAGAAACTTGCATTTTCTGTATAGTGGTTTTAATCAGTGCTAGTAAATGCTGTTTGCTGTAAGCTGGATGAACGCAGAGTGACCCATTTCCCTTGTGGCTCCAAATCACTACATCATTTTCAAACACAGGAGTTTTCTTTCTTGCCAGGTTTCTTCCTCGCTGAACAGTTGCAAACCTCAAATTCATTACTCAAGATGGCATATGGCATTGATAAAACAAAACTCAATTCACACTCATTATTTTTTCTTTCATGTCCTTTCATCCATTATTTTCCTTCTTTGACCCAAAATATACTTTTTAATCTTGTTTTTGCCCCTCATCAAGAACCTTTTGGTGTGCGATTCCTACTATTTTTTTGTATTTGCCTGCGATGTATTAAACCGGTTTGATACAGCAAGTTGTAATTGTCACTGTCCAGGTCATTTTCTTTTTGCAGATCCTGATATGTGCTCGAGATGAGTGGCGTTTCTGACAACGGGTTAGAGCCGCTGTGCTCCGACCGCAAACGAAGACTGTCCACCTGTGATCCTCAAGGGCTAGGGTAAGTATCAGAGGAACTACTTTTAGGGATGTTCCGATCACTATTTTTTTTTTTTTGCCTCCAATCCGATTATTAAACTTCAAATCCGATCTCGAGTAGTAAAGTAAACTCATTATTTTACAAGACAGATTACATTGATATGTATGGATAGTGATTGCTTCAATGAAAAATTCAAAGTTAATCAGCCTCAGTTTAGTCTTTCAGGCAAAAGTATGAAAAAATGTATTGGAAAATACACAGCACACTCGGATAGATGTCCAAAAGATCTAGTATTTATTACGTTTCGGCCTTAGCCTTCGTCAGATAATTTTTATCTTATTCATTTGGATCACAATATACAAAATGGTGCCAACCCAGGTGCTATAAGCCCCTTCTAACGAGTGGGAGGTCCCAGTGTGGTGACACCCAGTGAATTCAGCCAGTCTAAAATCAAAAAGCAGAATTAATACATAGAAGAAATCAACTTATAAAATGTATACAGATAATCATAAGAAACATCTGAGGTCAAAGTCCACATTTAGTCCATAAGGAGCTGAAAAATAGTCTCCCATACAGCCAATTTTGTAGGCTTAGGAGAATATGCCACAATAATGAAGACTTTGAAAGAAATCTAGGCAACATGATGACAAACTTTGAGCAAAGAGTATATAAAAAAACTGTTCTGAATGACGCTGCCACAAAAATCAAGGGTAAGCCAAGATCTGATTTTCTTAGGGTAAATCCCCCAAAAACTGCCTCAAAACGGACTATATTCTCTACTGTTTATTCTAAACCTGCTGAACAGTTCAAAAAGATTATATCAAAACACTGGCATATACTACAGACTGATTCAGCCTTGGGGGGAGCTTTTAAAGAGCAGCCCCTGGTGGTCTACAAAAGAGGAAGAAACTTGAGGGATAGACTTGTACATTCCTATCTTCCCCCAAATCCAACCACTACAGGCCAAACTATCCTGACTCCTATCCCTGATGGCAATCGCCGGTGTGGTGGATGTAGTCAGTGCAATTACACCTATCGGTGCACCAATTTCAAGCATCCCCACACTGGTAAAGTTATACCCATCAAAGGAATTATATCCTGCAATACAAAATCTGTTATTTACATGATCACTTGTCCTTGTGGTAAAGCCTATGTAGGAAAAACCAGCAGGGCTTTAAAAACACGTATTGCAGAACATAGAAGCACTATCAGATGCAAAAACTTAAATTACCCTGTAGCAGCTCATTTTATAGAATTCAATCATCCAATCTCTTCATTAAGATATATTGGTATTGAACATGTAACGCTACCCCCAAGAGGTGGAAACCTGGAAGTGCTTTTGTCTAAAAGAGAGCACTTTTGGATCCATCACTTAAAGACTTTAGCTCCTTATGGACTAAATGTGGACTTTGACCTCAGATGTTTCTTATGATTATCTGTATACATTTTATAAGTTGATTTCTTCTATGTATTAATTCTGCTTTTTGATTTTAGACTGGCTGAATTCACTGGGTGTCACCACACTGGGACCTCCCACTCGTTAGAAGGGGCTTATAGCACCTGGGTTGGCACCATTTTGTATATTGTGATCCAAATGAATAAGATAAAAATGATCTGACGAAGGCTAAGGCCGAAACGTAATAAATACTAGATCTTTTGGACATCTATCCGAGTGTGCTGTGTATTTTCCAATACATTTAATTTCTGCTCCAGCACATGCACCTCATGAGAAGAACTTGGTGTGCGTTTTTGTTTTTCTAGTTTCAAAAGTATGAAAAAAAACACCCTCTTGGTTGGTACAGTAACAAAGCTATAACAAAACTATCAAATATTCATATATAGCTAAACGAGGTCTGCTATACATATGGGACCCCCCCAAATCTGACGAGCATGCAATACAGCACACTTTAAATCATAAATGTAGGGATCACACCAGTGAGCAGTTAAGATGAGTAAAGACATGGGACAGACGTTTTAACTCCAAATTTCCATAATAAAAGTTTTAGCTAAACCTTCCCTTGGGTAGATTTCCATGTTCAATACATGTTGCATACTTTGACATGTTTTATCTAATAGCCACATGAACGCCACTCCGATTTTTTTTGAAGTCCTATTCATATTCTAACCATAAGGCAGAGGTTTTAATGATGTATGGTTGGCATGGCAACTCGTCTAATCCCATAGGTGTCCCAGCAGGTGTGACAAGCGTCGGAGGGAGCAGGAGAGCAAGTACATCGAGGAACTGGCTGAGCTCATCTCTGCAAACCTCTCCAATATCGACAGCTTCAATGTGAAACCTGACAAGTGTGCCATCCTCAAGGAAACTGTGAGGCAGATCAGGCAGATCAAAGAGCAAGGTACTGTTCCCCCCTATGGTGTATTCAGCCACAGGGACACGGCACTTTATACATACAGCCACAGGGGTACTGCACTTTGTTTGTACAGTATATGCAGCCTGAGGGACACACTTTGTATGCACAGCGTATTCAGCCACAGAACCACAGCACTTTGCATGTACAGTGTATACAGCCAAAGAACATGGCCCTTTTTATGTGCAGCACATTTATCCTCAGAGACGCAGAACTTTTTCCATTCAGTCACAGAGACACAGCACTTTGTTACTCGTGGTAAATGAACACCAGTGAAAGACCAGTCCAAGGTGGTCATGTCTTTGAGCCGTTTGCTCTCTGGTTCTCTGTAAAACTAGCACTATCTTGAGTATTCACAGGATACATTTAAATATATATATTCTTTTATAACCAATTAAGTTTGGTTGTCAAGTGCAAAATCTGCGTCTCACAGTGCAATATAGGTCCTTCCACATTATTTGCTGTTACACAGAAAGGCTTTTTAATCATTTACATAACATGGGTTTGCTGCCATCTAGTGGTTTGCATTCTGAATATGAAGTATGCGTCCTCTAATCCTATGTTTTTTCACATAGTTCTATTTTTATTTTCAGGAAAAAGCTCTTGTAGTGACGATGATGTCCAGAAAGCAGATGTTTCGTCTACTGGTCAAGGGGTTATTGATAAAGACCACCTTGGCCCACTGCTTTTACAGGTCAGACATGGGCCTACGAGGGACTTGTTTCCATTTTGGACAAAACCTTATAAAATATGTCTATTTTTTACATCAGGCATTGGATGGCTTCCTCTTTGTGGTAAACCGTGAAGGCAGCATTGTGTTTGTATCAGATAATGTAACACAGTATCTACAATACAAGCAAGAGGAGCTCATAAACACAAGTGTTTACAATATAATTCATGAAGATGACAGAGAAGAGTTTCACAAGAACCTCCCCAAGACCAACGGTGAGACTTTGTTTGTTGGAAGTCGGTGATGTTCTTATGGTAAATATACATTATGAGTTATTGTCTGTGCACCTCTTGCCTCTGCAGCACCAAATGGAGCGCCATGGGTTGGAGAGACTCTTCGGCAGAGAAGCCACACTTTTAATTGCCGTATGCTTTTAAATAGGCCTCCAGATGAAAGAGCTGGGGGCCAACATTATGAAACTATGCAGTGTTTTGCCCTCACTCAACCACGAGCCATGATGGAGGAGGGAGAAGGTACTTATCTGGGAATAATCTGAAATGTGTTTTTCTCCAGAAAATATCTCATGTTCTTAATTGCACTCTTTTCAACAGATTTTCATTCCTGTCTCATTTGTGTGGCCAGACGAGTCACTACTGTCGAGAGAGCAGAAAGATTTAGCACGCGTCATGAACTATCTGGTATGTGATTTTAAAAACTACAATTTCACATTTAGAACAATAAATCTTCCTTGAAGATGAGACAACAGTGTAGTTGTAAAGTAATGTTTATCATGTTATATGTTGAATTCACCCATTCACACTAGTTTGAGAATTGCTACCTGAACTCACAAATCCAGGACACTTTTTATACAGCAACCTGATTTCCTACAGCGTTTCCCTAATTTTCTTACCTTTGTTTCTTTGTATTTTCTTCTGTTACTGATTTAGTACTCCTGTATGTCCTCCTGTAAGTGTCAAAGCTGCATAATTCGTCTATTTAACAAACAAAAATTGAAAAACCTTTTTTAGAAAAAGATTTTTTGCAAGTTTTGAACCATAGCAGTTCCCATCAAGATTAAGAGATCCTTTATTCATCCCAGAGTGAGGAAATTTCAGTGTTGCATCACAAGTTACAGAACAGTAGGAATGAGGAGAAGAGGCATAAAAAGAAGCATGAATTAAGTACAAAATCTCTAACTTTATCAGAATAAAGAAGTAGAAAAAACTGTATATTCTAGTGCAAGAAGTATAGAATTGTACGGATACATGTGTACATGTCAGTCACTTTGTCCCAGATCCTCATGCTGCTAAGTAAAGTGACAATGGACACATGTGATTCTATATTGTACATTCTGACATTATTAAAGTTATGGCACAGGTGCACGGTCCTCATTGTTCGTTACTATATTACTATTTTTTTAAGCTTATATTTTTGATTTATACATTTTCATAAGTTTACGATATATGTATTGGTGTAATTGGTAACTCAATCCTAAATGGCAAAATGGCTTTACATCTTCCTTTTTTAGATATAGTCTCTTGACCAAACCAGGTAATAACCAGTAAAACGGTGCTTTTGCCTTTTTGCCTTGGTTTGTTCCAGGTAAGTTGATTGAAATCGAACAGCAGGCGTCCCTTCATACAACAATGCGGCCGGGCTGGGAGGACTTGGTGAGGCGCTGTATGCAAATGTTTCTCCATCGCAGTGAGGGACAGCCTTGGTCTTACAAACGCCATTATCAAGATGGTAGGTCGTGATATTCATTGCATTTGAAAAATACATAGGAAAAGGTCTTGTCCACAAGTAATTATTTTTGTTTGCTCCAGCTTTGCTTACCGGTCATTCAGAGACTCCTCTGTACCGTTTTTCACTCTCTGATGGCACCGCAGTCTCAGCCCAAACCAGGAGTGACCTCTGTCGGAATCCTAACTCCAGTGAACCGCCTACTTTTCTCTCCACACACCTGCTGCAAAGGTACCACATTATTTCCAACTGCCTGAACTATTGTGTGTGTCCCATGTATCAGCCAATCAACTTTTATTTGTAGAGCGTCTTTCCTACTCAAGGCAACACAAAGCGCCTCACAACCAATATAACATCAGGCATAAATCATCAACATCAAAATCTACATACACATAAATAGTAAAAAACAAACATTAAGATCAGAAGAAATGTTAAAAACATAGAAAATAATATCGCACAAGTCATTTAAAACCTTTAACATTAAAATCACACGTGATAAATAGCCACAGTGCTTTACAAAGAGTGAAGATAAAATCCTTCAGTTGTAAACACAGCTAAACAGAACTGTTTTTAACCAGGATTTGAATACTGCCAGAGTAAACGCCTGTCTCACATTTTCAGGAAGATTTTTGCTGCATGAATTTGAAATGCTGCTGTAAAGATTTTGTTACTTTTTTTAATAGGGATCCAAATAGTTATCGGGGAAATCCAGGTGGAGCCATGAGGCCTCCAAACATTGGAGTGATGACCCAGAATCAGCAAATGAACAGAGGATATGGAATGGCAGATCACAGAGGACTGCCTCCGTACACTGCAGGAAACCGTCTGAATCACATGAATCAAATGCATCACATGAGCAACATGGCTCAGATGAATTCTATGCATCCAATGAACTCGCCCATGAACTCCATGAACCAAATGGGACAGGTGAATCAGATGGGGCCCCATGGCATGCATCAGCAGATGAGTCCATTTCACAGTGGCTCTGGTGGTGGCGGAGGATATGGAATGGGAATGACCAGCCCCACTCCAGCCAGTCCCGGGATGAATGGTCCTCCTCATAATGTCATGGGGTCACCTCGAGTCCGGCTAAGCCCAAAATTGGGGTCGAGTCCTTTTTCCCCTGGTGGTGAGTTGATTATGCATTATTATTTAATTGACTTATGTCCCATGTGAACATTATTATCTAAGGATAAGCAGTTTCCCCATCTATGTTCTCATCTTTGCATTTCTTATTGTGTGTTGTAACAGGTATGAACTCTCCTATGCATCAAACTAGCTCAGGGGTTGGAGGGGCCACATTCTCCAGTAGTTCTTTAAATGCTCTCCATGCCATAAGTGAGGGTGTGGGCAACCCAATGTCCTCCCCCCTCACATCCCCCCCTACACATAAACCTGACAGTTCACAGAGTATTAACTCAACCAACCAAGTATCAGGTGGCACCTGTAAGCCTAGCCTGTTCAGTCAGTCTAATTCTGATTCTAAGAGCCCAAGTGTAGAGCCGTCACAGCATCATACGCCCCCGAGTGAAGGACTAGAGGACCAACCTGACAGTCAAGCCCAGCCTGGGGGAGATGCACACAGAAGAGCCCCTGACGGCAAGTGCCACAAGAAACTTCTGCAGCTCCTCATATCACCGACCGATGAACTGATGCCTCACACCCCAGGCTCTGGGCCTAGTTCTACGGCTGATGCTAAAGATGGAAATGGCAGCGCTACTAGTCCGTCATCCTCAACTGGTGTGTCCTCCTCTACAGGAGCGGTATCTTCTTCTGTTGGGGCAGGGAACTTGTCCAGTCAGTCTTTGCAAGAAAAGCACAAGATCCTGCACAAGCTTCTACAGAATGGCAACACCCCGGATGAAGTGGCACGGATCACAGCAGAGGCTACTGGGAAAAGTAGCCTAGAAAGTGGAGGATCAGAGATTGGCCCACCAACAGCTGGGGCGGTTTACGGATCAGAGTCCAAAATGGAACAGCTCAGTCCTAAGAAGGAAAAGTCCCATGCCCTCTTGCACTACCTTCTCAATAAGGATGACTCCAACAGTGGAGACAGTGGTGACATCAAGCCTAAGCTGGAAGCGCCAGAAAGAAGGGGCCCTCCGTCCTCGGGGGCCACCATCTCTGAAACCTGCTCACTAAACGGCAAGGTGAAGTTGGAGCCATCAGATGAGGTAATGATTCATAGAATATTGCCTACCCACTGAAGCACATGATGCAGATGACAAATGTAGTGTTATTCTTTGTCTAGTCGGAAACCCTTGAAACAATTCTTGGAGTTCCTCGAACAAATTCTGGCTTTTTCTCCGAGCCTGATTCAAGAACTGGGAATGATGTTGAAAACCCACAAAGAAGCACAACTGATGATTTTCATGGTAGAGTCCATATTGTTTTGTTTTTGTTAAATGTAGTTAACAATGGGAGATTATGTTTGATTTTGCTGACCTGCTAGGGAAAAAAGATGGAATTGCCTAAATTACAGCTTTATCAGTTTAATTACCTTTACTCCTAATGCCATACTTTTACCATTTTTCTGGATCCAAATGTTTTGGATGTCACACTGAAAGTTATGACCTTAATTTCTGTTAGATGCTGAGCGGGTTGCCATGCCTCCAGGCCAGCGCTCTGCCTATCAAAGGGCTTTATCTGTGGATTCTAAGCCCGTGACCGGACCTGTTTCTGTCAGTGCTTTGGCCGGAAGAAGAAATGTTCCATGTCCCCCTCTTATGAACCCGGACTCTCTGCTTCGACCTGGGGGAATGCCCAATGGCTTTTCTGGGAACATGGGTCTCCGTGCACCCCAAACAAATCAACGTAAGGCCACAACTAATGCGTAATGTTTCTAACATTTATATAATATAAAAAAAATGCCATGCCCCTAATGGGTCGACACAAATAAAGCTGATACATTTGTGCCATAGGAGGCGTGGGGAGAGGTATGGGAATGTTACCACGATCTGGGGTGAGTGGACCAGGAGACTGGGGTATGCAGAGATCCCCAGCTGCTAGTGGTCCTCTACCCACCGGCATGGGTCGTCCAGCCTCAATGGGGGGCCCAATGATCAATCGTTCAAATAGTGTGCCTGGAGCCACAAGATCTATGCTTCAGCAACAGCTCATGGAGATGGGTATGTCCATGTTCCCTAATCATTGGCTAGAGCAGAATTGATAATTAAAGCTGTTTATTTGAGTGTTAATAAAGGCATCTTGAGATTAGTGGTGGAAGATATCTTGATATTTATGATATATCGAGACATTTTTAAAACTCAGTAGGTTTTATTTTTCACCTTTGCCTTCTCTGTGCTGTGCTCGCTTGCTTGTAGAGTGTACAGTAGTGTAGAATATGAAAGAAGCACAGGGTGGTCGTCGTTGAGCAACATGGCTTTATGTGCATGCTATACACACAACCCAGATACAGTTTACCAAGAGGGCATTACTGTTCGATAACAGAACTCCCGCGATTGTACACTACGGAGAACGAGTGACTTGTCGCTAGATTGGAAAAGGTTATTTACTATTTATGTAATGAGGGATTTTAATCTTGGATTTTGCAGAAACGCCTTGTTCCCTTATGTTCCCCTAACTCAACTGCCTTGAGTTGAGTTGTTTTGAGTGTATTGAGATATATTTTTGTTTCATATTGCCCAGTCCTATTTTTTATCATCCTCTATTCTATATGGATAATCCTTTGTATCGTATGTTCTTCCCAGGTCCTAATGAATCCAATTTGGGAATGAGTGTGTTTGGTAGCTCCACCCCACAGTCGCCTTCATGGCCTGATTCTTCAATGGGAGTGGATCGACTGCAGAGCCGTGCTCACAGGTAATATTCACTAGTTACATTCTTTTCAAAGACTTGGAAATGTCATTGTTTTTGTAAAAGATGTATGATGTGTTTGCCATGTTTCCTTTAGAGACCAGTTTGGTCTTAGTTTGGACGAGCTGCTTGGACCCCCGGCTGCAAGTGAAGGTCCAAATGATGAGCGTGCTCTTATAGACACGCTGGACTGCCTGCTCAACACGGCTGACGTCATGGCCCTGCAGGAGATCGATCGAGCTTTGGGGATTCCTGATATTGTTGGCCAGGTACATATTTTCTTGTCACAAAAATGACTTTCTTGTTGACTTCTTAATTCCAATTGTTAATTGTTATTTTTGCAGTCTCACGGCTCTGAAGGACCTCAAAGAGGGCAGGATCAGAGCCAGGCTCGATGTCCACCATCAGAACCTTTTGTGGCACCAGATTCTTCCATTGGAATGGACCACAAACCGATGTACCCCCAGGGCTACCCTGGACCACCCTCCATGAGCATGCAGCCTGGCTACAGACCCAGTACAATGCAGGGACACTCACCTGGAGGCTTCAACCCAATGGGGAACCAAATGAACCATACCACAGGATTTCCCGGCATGGGGAACACGGGAAACCCTCGGCTTAACATGATGAGGCCCCGCATGATGGCTGCCACCAAGCCCCTGAGATGGCAGCTGCAACAAAGGCTGCAAGGACAACAGGTCAGCATAAAAGGACATGATGAAATGACTGACTGCAGAATATAAAGTCACAATATATGTACGTTTGTATTTCAACTGCACTTCAACGTCATTATTTTAAACTTGATTATGTTAATTATCAGTTTATGAACCAGACGAGACAAGGCGTGAAGATGGACAGTGGCCCTGGAGGAGGAATGGCAGCTACCCTACCGCAAACTGGTATCGCACCTGGAAACATGGGCAATCAGGTAAGTAGCCAGTAAATGGATAACCAACACACCTGTAATTTTTCACTACAACATGAATATGTTTTTGGTCTGTAGTCTGGTTTTCTGAACGCTCAAATGATGGCACAGCGCAGCAGAGAGATGATGACTCTGCAGATGAAGAGGCAGCGGATGATGATGCTTATGCAGCAGCAGCAGCAGCAGCAACAGCAGCAACAGCAGCAGAGCCAGGGACCAGCAGGAGGCTTTAGTCCACCTCCAAATGTCATAGCACCAGCAGGAATTGACAGCCCTCTAAACCAGTCTGGGCAACAAAGCTTCAACTATGGAGGCAACTATGGTTTGTGGACAGGAGACACTATATTTCTTGTGTATTTACTGCTATTACCTATCAAACTTGACATGGGTTCAAATATGTTTGCAAATTAGGTATGAACCAACAGGGAGAGCCTTCTTTTATGGCCACTCGAGGAAGTAGCTCAACAGGAAACCTGAGGCCAGGACGAATGGCTGGCCCTGCCCAAAACAATGTGATGGCTGGAATGCAAGGAAACCACCAGGGTGGGCCCATGTACCCCTCTGCAGACATGAAAGGCTGGCAACAGGGCACCATGCCACGGAACAAGTATGTTTGTCTTTCTGCAAAACTATTATATTGGAAGGGATTTAATCAAAATAACACAGATCATTTTTATTCACAGCTCATACCCACAGCAGCAGTTCCCACAACAGGGGACTCCAGGACAATTTGGATCAATGATGATAAACAAAGCCTCCATGGGTGGACCGGGTCCTGTTGGTGCTGGTGCGGGGCAAATGGGCCAGATGCAAACACAAATGGGCATGAACCCAATGGGAATGGCTAGAATGCCAATTGGACCCGACCAGGTAACTGTCACTTGGAATTGGCTTAACTCTAGCGCCTAGTAGTGTGTTTGTGTGCTGCTGTTGATACTTCTAAGGTCAATGGACCAATGAAATCACTCAAATTAGATTAAAATGTGATCAGTCAAGATTGGTTTGAGATTTTTACTTTGTTTCATTGAGTGCCTCGATATCATTTTGGCACCACCTGCATGTGAAACTCCTGTTGTATCCTTAGGCCAGGCTTCACCCACATTGCCTAGTACGAGTATGGTGTTCATGAATGATTGATGGTTGGAGGGTACGTACATTCTGTACTGGTTGCCTCGCCTCAGTCCGCCTCAGGGCATCTGTGGCAACATTAGTAGTAGTAATAACACCACGTGTATGTGAAGTGTCTTTGGGTGTCATGAAAAGCTGCAGGTAATGTTTATTATAATTATTAAACAATGAGGAAGAGAAACTAGAATATGTGATTTATTCATCCACATCTCACAGAGGTTCAAACTGTGCTCAGGCTTGCGCCTTGCCTAATCTTATTCTCAACCTTCTGTCACTTTGCTGGCTATGACGACACATGTTTATCATTGACAATAACAAATTAGGTTATGGTTAGAGCTAGAACTAGTCAAAGGAACTAAGGTGAGGGCTTTGGTAAAGATATGTTGATTGGGTTGTGACTCTAGTAGATGTGAGGCTTGCTCTCTTCTCTGGGTGGAACTTCCCCGCACATTTCCTGTAAGGCGGAATCGAGGAAATCTCATGCTTTGTCTTGGATAGGGCACTTTTGCAAAAGAGATTTTTAATCTTGATTTTTGTTTTTTTTGTTTGTTTTTTATCCTGGTTGAATAGAAAAAAATACAAATGAGAATTAAGTTTGCCAAATGGCAATTAAATACAGATGAATGGTCACTGGAACTTTAAGTGACAAAATGCAGCCAAACAAAGCAGTGGATGAAGCACTCTGAAGTATTATTTGTTCCACAGTTGTTTTGAGAAGCTATAATCATAACTCTTTCCATTCAAAATGGCATACATACCCTAACCCCATCATGGTGTAATGAACATTCAATTCAGACAACGGCTGAACATCTCAGGGAGGCTTTTTATTGTGGACATCTTAACGAACACCTGTGCATTATTCATCCCATCTCATCTGCACCTGTGAGGTGGGGTGGATTGTGACTGCACTGGAAGAGTGCTCACTGGAGCAGATTTGTGCAAATGATAACTGCACCCACATGACCTTGTTTCACCTATGCTTCCATTCTCCTGTGTGCAGAAATACTGTTGAGTCCTGTGATCGGGACGAGAAGACCTCCAGCCAGATGGGATTTCCAGTTCTTCTGGGGAATGACACATTCAGAGCTGTATGTCCAGGCATCATGGTGAAATGACCCAATGCAACATTTGGCTTCAGCTGAGGACAATGGTACATCTGGCTGTGGATGCACTTTACTTGAAGGTTGCAGAATAGGAAACACAATTGTAACAGTATTGCTTTAGTGAGATGGCCTTACTTGAGATTCGATGCCTTTGCAACAGTACGTTGTCTTTACTTTATATTTGGGTAAGTCAATCTGAAGTCGATGGGTTCTAAGAGCTCTCAGTTTATGGCTTTGTACAGATTGGAGCAATAACATTTGCCTCTATGCTTTAGGCACAGGAGCCCTTTGTTTAGGGCAAAGTAATGGTACTGCAGTATTATATTTTGAATATAATTGTAAATATTCTACAGAATATATCTTACATTCTTTATAAAACCCATTATTGCACATGTATGAGATCTGGATGCATTCATACATTGTATCTTTTGTATATCTGTTACAGCTTTGCAGTTATTGCAAGTGTGTTTGGGTTTATTGTATGACCATTTTCTGAATGCTGTATTTTTGTTTTGTATCAAGTCATTACATGTTTTGGCACTTTTACTCCTAATGAATATCTGACAGGTTAAATATGTTTTAATGTGATGTCAGTGAATTACTGAAATGTCAGGGCAACTCCGTGTTGCGTCACCAACAGGCCTTCTGAACAGCCGCTTCCTCTGCTCTGGGTTGTCAATTTTTCTGTTTTTTCCAAAGATATTTTACCACACCTTTTGAAAAGTTCTTTGGTTCTTTGTAAATTTGTATAGAAAAATGAATTATATTATGAATAATGGTTGTGTATTTGCAGAAGTTTTACTGTGCAGTTGAATGGCTTAATCTGGACAAACATTCACATTAATTCAATATCAGTTTTACAAGTACGCACAGGCTGTAGTTTTGTGGGTTTTTAAGGGAGGGTGAAACAACATATTTTAGTAGATGTATATGCAAGATTTTCCTGTTGATAATGGTGTAAATAAAATGTTTATTTAAATGTTATCTTTGTGTCTGCCTGATATTCTGAGGGGGGCTAACGGTACACATTTTCCCATTCATATTTAAGCAATACTAAAAAGTCAAACCAATTGTGATATAAAGATACTTGACAACGGCCCAAAGTGCTGTACACTCCACAAGGGATACAAACATTACATTAGACAAGCAAAAAGTCACACAATAACACAAACGGCATAGAAATTGCATTACTATTTCAGACTTAACAGCAGAGGGCGGTAGTGTCTTGTTGTTTTGGTCGAAATTCTCATCGTGGCTTGACTGTTCGGCTTGACCAGGCTTAGCCATAGGAGGGCGCTAACACCGACATAAATAGGGACTTTGATGAGTTTTTTATCAAAAGACAGGAATTAAACTATTGCCTTTTGACAAATAGGATCTTGGGCGTCATGTGGGGTATTAATCATACAACCATTTAAAATAGTCTGGACTAAACGCTACTGATGAGGCCTTAAATAGGACCACATATTGTTATGATGAAAAAAGCGTGTTTTATAGTATAATTAATAAATTATTTCAACATGAATGTACATGTAATAAATACATTCCGTATCGCAGTCTGTGATTTGATCTTCCTTCAATACATCCGCTCCTAGTGATATTGCGTATTCAAACTAGAGCAGCAGTCCTGTTAAGCTTGCTATAAGTAATGTCAAACAAAAGTAAGGAATAAGAAAAAGCGCAGCACTGTGGGAATGTGTCCGCCAGCGCGTCTGCCTCGGAGCTGGCGCGCTTCCCGGCCCATCTGCGGCCTGGCCCGTGGATTACTGTTTGTTAATGTTTCAATCAGCTGTGTGTTGAGGAATGTGGAGCTATTTAACCTGAACTTCCCCAGGTGTGCCGAGGCGCCGCTCAGTCTGGGCCCCTCCGCCCTCCCCTGCCCTTGGCACAAAGCTATCACACAAACACAATCACACACTGGCCCCGCGCAGGCTGCAGCTGTGCGCCTCTCACCGCAGGGAAATGGGAAAAACATTGCACCAGGGAGACGGGATAAATCTTATAAAGGATCACCACAGCAGCCACTTTAACTCGTGCACTGCCACACACACTCGAGCGAAGCAGTTTTATTTATTTCGAGAAACAATATGTATTTATTCACACCGCCTTTGGTCAGTTTATAGGTCTATGTTATAACTAAGGTTTAGAGCACTTAAGTGGGGCTTTCACGTGTAATGTCATGATTAATGAGCCAATACGAAAGCTATTATGAATTCAAATGGCCTTATGTCATTATTGACCACCAGCTTGGATTTAGGTAATCTCTGAGTAAGAGCTTCAAGTAAGCCTGTGGTGTAACACTGACACATGACAAGAGCTGCATCTGCAATATCCTAACTATGGTCCTAACACATCAGACTCACAGCACCCCAGACCATACATTATACGTGAAGGAGAGAGAGAATTGAATGATAAGAAATGGTAAGCATGTTAAAAATAGTCTTGTTTTAATAAAAACACCAATAGGTACATTGTAAGAAAACAATATGTTCACATAATGGCATTGTAATATACAATACGGTTTGTCACTCAGAATTCTGAGAAAAATTTACTAAATTCTTTTACAAAATTTCTCTATACATGTGATACAAGAGCATAACAGAGACATTAGCGTTCTCTCTATCTGTCTTTCAATCTAACAACCAAACTCGTGGTTGCACTGATGTGATTTGGTCCCCGGGCTAACCCGCTCTATGTGGACATACTGGTCCATCTACTCTTCATGTCAGTGGTGTTGTCCTGGGACCCCTCGGAACAATCGAGGCGCCGAAAGGGACGTCCACACACAACCTTTAACACTAGTGTTTGGGAGTTGAAAACGTCCCGACAGTCCCGTGTTTGGTCCGCTGAAATGCGGCTTCCTGGTGCGCGGTGCTCGGTGCGGGATGCTCCTGTTTAGCGGCACATGATTCTGTCATCGGAGCAGCCGTTCTGTGGACAAACAACACAACAGGTTTAATACATGTGCACTTCCACAAAGCATACGGGCTAAGCACACACAGAGCACAGCCACTCAGCGCAGGCACAGAACAACATTTACCTCCACTGCGATGCTCGCCAGTTCCGCGTTCAGAGTGGTCAGGGGCGGTGGTTTGGACCCACCGTTTGCCGCGAGTGACGGCTCCATAACGGGAGACCGCAGACCAGCCGGACCAGCTGTACTCCCTGAGTGAGGCGGCTTACGCCTGTGCAGGCCTTATTAGGTGGGCCGGAACGGCCCAGAACCTTTAGTATTGCCTCTCTCTCTTACTTACACGTTGTAGATGATGCGAGAGCAGCCAACTAACGGAGCAGGGATCTACACTGCCCCCCCCCCCGCAGGCCAGCCAAGTCGCACTCCACCGCACGATCAAGCAACCAACTGGGCAGAGGACGCGAGGCCGCGCCGCGAGGCGCGGCATAGCCCACGGCGAACGGAGTTCCACGCCCGCCCCTGCCCCTCAGAACGCGGCTGGGAGCTCGCAGAGGCGGTCAAATGATGTACTGTGCCTGCGCTGAGTGGCTGTGCATCTGTAGTGGAGCTACGACGTATGCTGAGTGTAAGATGACATGAAATACACTCGTAGAGTTTTTATGTACAGAAGGAGTCGCAGCAGCATCTGAGGCGACCCCGGCGCACCCGCACGGCACCGACAGGCAGTAGAATATCCGGGGACACCCCGTGCTGTCGGGCCCGATAAACCCCACACCCACACCAACGAGATCCCGGATGTGTAGAGGAGACCAAACCGGCGGACGAATGAATGGCGGGGGACAGGCCCCCCCCCAAGACTGAAGCGTAGCTGGCCCCGTCTTACCCCATCGAGGGGTTAGCGGGGACCACACTCCCTCCGAGCCCCGAGAATGGAAGTACGACAAGACAGCCGCTAGACTGCGACCGCATACAGACTTATAAGAATGTACACTAGTATCGCGACTTAATGTACCCGACTATACGAACCTATAAATATCAGCAAAAGCGATGCCCCCCCGAAAAGATACTTCCACAGCCTTAAGAGCACATAAGTGAAATTAATCACTGACCAAAATGTGTGATTACAACACACACGCTAAATAATTAACCCAGATACCATAAATTTCACATACCAACTAACTCCCTATCAGATAAAATGTATGGTTGGGTGCAGAGGTTGCTGTGATAGGCCAAGTATCTGATAAAGCCGCTGCAGCACATGTCCAGTAGTCAGTGAACCCCCCGGCCCAACTATGCCGACAACCTCGCGCAACAACACCACCCCCGAGGTAGGTCCTACCTACCACGGGCAATGAATTCCTAATCGCTAATCGTATGGCTATTACTCCAGCCCTAACCGTAGCCCTCCCCCAACCGAGAACCACCTACGATCATCCCCCCATCGCACTCCCTGCCCACCGGCCCGGAGAGCCATAAAACCATCTAGAAATCCGCCAAACCCTCACAAGCTTCGCTCGCGTGTGATGAGCAGTGCACGCGTTAACGTGGTTTGTGGAAGAATCCTTATACGCCTTATCGTCACCATGGAGCCCAGAATTATTCCATTCCCAGCGGTAGAGCGGGCCCGCTGCGCCTTGGGGGCGAGTGTGCTAGATGAAAAGTGTGAACGCTATTGTGCCCGGGCAGGGTCGGGGCCGGCGGGGCCCGGACTGAGCGGCGCCCTCGTCCACCTGGGGCCGTTCCGGAAAATACGCTCCCCCAACCACCCCCCCCGCTGCATGCAACATTCACCCACCACCGTACCTCCGGGCCCGGCCGCAGATGGGCCGGGCCGCGGGCCCAGGATACGCGGGAGACGCGTGGCGGCCACTCTTCCCACCGAGCTGGCAATTTTCTATATTCCTTCCATATGATATGACCTTACTTATGAGCCTGCTTTAACAGGACTGGGCTCTCGATTGCCTATCACAACACTAGGAGGCGGAGTATTGCGGCAGCTCCCAATCCCAGACTGCATACGGAATGTATTCATTACATTGTACATTCATGTTGAACATAAATTATTACGATCAACCAATAAAACACGGTTAATTCATAATAACCACAGTGGACCTCAATAACAGGCCTCTCCGACGCGAATACGTCCAGCTCATTTAAAATGGTTGTATGGATACACTACCCCCACCACAGACGCCCCAGATCTATATTGTACCCCCGGCCATCGAATCCTAATCTGTCCTATTATAGATCAAAATCATCAAGTTCCTCTAACTGACCCCTGTGTTCGCGCTCCTACAGGTCGCCTGGTCCCGCCGATCGACCGCCGATGAGCCAAACGACCCACCCCCCCCCAGCACACTACCGCCAAGCAGTTACGATGAACTAGTATGCCCATTTCAGCCGTTTTGTGTTATAGTGTGACTTTTTGGCTTGTCTACAAGTAATGTATGTCAACCCTTGAAGGCGTGTCCGCCTTAGGGGGAAGACCAGTCACAAATTAACACACCCATGTGTATTGAAAATTATCGTATAGCATAAAAAAGAATGGGGCGCCAGTAGTCGATTAGCAAGATCTAGGCCGGACCACAAAGATAACATATTAAATCAACTAAATATATTTTCCACCCTAACTCCTCCGGACAAACATGCCTCTACATCTACACAACTAGTGTAGTTTCCCCCTCCCTACAAAAACCCACCCCCCAACCGCCTGTGGTCCAAGTCCTCCCTAGCTATAGCAAACCTGTGCCGAATGACCCCGCTTAAGCCAATACCCCAGACAGAACCCCAACAGCACCACCCCCCTACAACCAAACACCAACATTTATACATCAACCCCCAATCCCCCCCGCCCCCCCCCGCAATATACCCACGGAGAGGGACACCAATACTAGGCACCCAACCAGCAAAATTGCCAACCCGCGCCGAGCAGCGGCTGTTCCGCCGGCCTGTTGGTGCGCCCCACGCGTAGTGCCCAATATCCCTTCCTAACAAGCCCCACCCATTAACCCCCTCTAAACCCCAGTGCACTTTCATTAGGAGTAAAAGTGCCACACCAGTAATGACTGCTCCCACCCCACCCAGACAGCCAAATCAGCCCCATGGTCTCCCATAACCCCACACCCCTTGCCTACTCAGCCAGCAGACCCAGATCTATACCCAGCAACACTGACAGCATGCCACCTCTATACCTCCAACATGTTGCCATATGGGTATATATACAGGGCCAAGGATCCTCTATATTTTGTCGCTAATTTCCCATATCAACACACATAATCCTCCTGCGTACATTACAATGCCTACACACAAAGGGCTCCAGAGCCCACAGCTCGCGGCCCCTGTTAAAGACCCTCGAGTATACCCAGATCCACTAGAGGCACTTAGCCCCCCTCGCTTCAGATTGATACTTCCACCCCCCCTTCTACCGACACGCCCAGATCCATAGATAGCCCCCCCGGCAACGCCACTCCAGACAGGCATCTCCCTTAAAGCCATACTGTTTACAATTGTGTTTCTATTTCTGCAACCGATCCCGTCAGCTGCATCCCCAGCCAGATGTCCATAGACACAGGTGACGCAACAAGTAGCATGGGGTCATTTCACCTGCTGCCTGGGACATCAGCTAGACTGTGACATTCCCAGAAGACTGGACTACCATCTGGAGGAGGTCAAACGACCGATCCAGGGCCTCCAAACCAGATAAATCTGACACGGAGAATGGACCGCATAGTTGCCCCCCCCGGTCCAGTGGGATGCCGGTACTACCCCAAAGCCCCCCAAGACCGTGCGCCTTACCGTGCGTCCCAACCCCCCCCCCCTCCCGGTGCGATTGAGCTGGGTAGCCAACTGAGGTGTATTTTAAGAGACACAATAAAAAAGCCATCCTGCGATGTTACGCCGTTGTCTGCATTGCCTGTTCCTTCCCCATGTGGGGTTCGGGTAAGTCAGCCATATTAGGAATGGCACGCGATATGATTATAGATCTCCACCACACAAACCATGTGGCCCACAAAAATCTTAGAGTGCTACATCCCATGCTTTGAAAGGCAGCCATAATTGTATCTCCCCGTCTCCGAGCCCATCAAGTCTTTCATTTGCCATTATCGGCCACTTAAATTATCAAATAGTAAAATTTTCTAAACCCCCCAGGAACCAACCCAACCACCACACCCCACCCTCAAGCATTACAACCTCTATATATTGCCCACAGAGCCCTATCCCAGCCCCCAGCGCTGAGGGCATTACACCGCAAGCTACCAGGGCAAATGTGCGGGGAGGAAGTTTACCCCCCCAGCGCCTCGGGCCCCCGCCCTCCTCATACACGCGTCGCACCCCCCAAACCCCACACATAACCCCCGCCCATCCCTTAGTTCCTTTGACTTAGTTCAAGCTCTAACCAAACCACCTCAATTTTGTAATTGTCCATGCTACCACCTGTGACGTCCTAGCCAGCCAAGAGCTGCGGTGCGGCATACCGATTCGGCAAGGCGACCCCGTGAGCCCCCCGAATGCACCTCAGTGCGCTGTGGTGAATCCCTCCCTATCTTCTAGATTCATCTTCTCTATGGAATTAATACAAATCAATACAACAATCCCTGCAGCTTTTCATGGCCCCCCCCGCACTTACCCCTCCCGTGTGATCATACTACCTACTACTGTTGCCCCCGATGCCAGCGGCGGACTGAGGCGAGGGAACACCCTTCGACTGTCGACCCACCCCACCTCCCTCATACCTGCACACCAACCTCGTACTCGGCTTGTGGTGCAGTGGCCTACGGGCTACAACGGAGTTTCACATGCAGGATGGTGCCAAAAAGCTATCGCAGGCCCACAAAGAAACAAAGACCCCCACTACTCCACACCCACTCTTGCAGATACTTTTTCATTCTATTTGCGTGATTTCATTGGTCCATTGACAGTAGGCAGTCTCACAGCAGCAACCAACACTACTCGGCGCTCGCGTTAAGCCAATTCCAAGAGACAGAGTACTGGTCGGGTCCCTTGGATACTAGCATTCATTGGGGTCAAGCATATGAGTTAAGCCTCTGGCCATTTGCCCGCCCCAGACACCAACAGGACCCGTCCACATAGGAGGCAGTGTATCTTCCTAATTGCTCCAAAATTGTCCTGGAGTCCCTGTTGAGGGAAACTGCTGTGAGGAGTAAGAGCTGAGACTATCCATCATATCTGTGTGCTTTAGGCATCAAATCCCCATTCCCTCTTACACGATTTTTGCAGAACCGACAACCTCATTGTTCCGTGGCCTGGAGCCTGTTGCCGCCTTACATGTCTGCCGCGGGGACCCGGGGCAACCCTGGAGGTATCTTGCCTTCCCGCCAACACCTAGTTTTGGGCAGGGCCAGCCATTTGTCCAGGCTCAGGTTTCCTGTTGGAGACTTCCTCGATGGGCCATAAAGCAGGCTCTCCCTGATGGTACTAACTACATTTGCAACCTCTTTGCACCCCCAGTAAGTATAGCTCGGTACACGCCCGATCCATCCACCCGCAAATTCTCGTGTCACATGTACAACCCATAGTAGCCTCCCTAGTAGGAAGTTTGTTGCCCAGGACTGGTTTAAGGGTGTCACATTCCTGTGGTACTATGACCTTTGGAGGTGGACTAAAGCCTCCTGCTGGTCCAGGCTCTGCTTCTGGATGTGCTTGTATGTGTGTGCTGAGTGCATACAGCATCATCATCCGTGCTTAATCATCTGCAGAGTCTACATCTCATCTGCCTTACTACTCATATCCCCATCTCCTCCGTAGATGTAGTCTTGATAGCGAGGATGCCGAGCGATGATGACTCAGCAGCAGACGAGGCAGCGGCTGCTGATGCAACTGCCGCCGCCGCGCCCAGCAGCAACAGCCGCAACGCCGCAGAGCAGGGACCGCAGGCGGCTATCGTCCACTCCACCTGTCAACGCACCAGCAGGAATTGACCGCCCTTACACCAACCGTTTGGGCACCAAAGGTTCACCTATGGCGGAACATCTGGGATAGATGGCAGGGCTCGCCCCACAATAAATTAATTAGTACTAAACTGCTCATCCATACCCCCCACAAAAGCCCAGGGTTCAAATATGTTTGCCCCTTCGGTATCAGAACCCCCCAGTGAGAGCCTTCTTATATGGCAGAGCGGCGGACGTAAGCATAAACAGGGAACCCTGGAGGCCGGGACGACTGGCTGCCAGCCCACCACCCAGTGCAGGTGGCCCGCCCGGGAAAACCGGGTGGGCCTGTCCCTCTGCAGCCCTGGAAAGGTCGGCCACCGGGCACCATGCCGGAAACAAGTATGATTTGATCATTCAGCCACACCCTGCTATCTCTTGGCGGCATCCTCACCATCCCCCAGATCATTTAAATTCACAGCTATAACCCCAGCAGCAGTTCCACCCCGGGAGAACCCGGGGCCCATTATAGGCTCACTGAAGCAAAACCCCGCCTCATGGGTTGGAGGGGACTGTGGATGTGGTGGGGGCCCCAAGGGGCCACGCTGCCACCCCCCCCTGGGTAGAACCAATGGTCTGGTCGCATGCAATTGCGCCCCGCCAGGTCAGACTATGCTAGGCATCCCATAGCGCCTAGTAGTGTGTTTGTGTGCAGTGATGCACCTTCATCCAGGGGTGTCCAATGTGACCCAGCAATCACTAAAAGATTACAATGATGCTCAGTCCCCGCTATGGTTTGAGATTTTTACTAATGAATCAATGAGTGCCACGCACTCATATATGCACCCTAGCTGTGAACAACTCCTGTTGTATCTTAGGCAGCTATTTCCCACCCACTTGCATAGACCTAGAGAATTGGTGTACATGAATGATTGAGGATGGCGGGTCCGTACCCTACTAGTCCAGCGTTGCTCGCCTCCGAGCCTACAGGGCCTCAGTTAGGCACCATTCGTAGATAGTAATCCACCCGTGAATGTGCCGTACTTTAAAGGTGGGAGTCCTGAACCGCTTGCAGGTTACATGTTTATTATACCATCATCCCACCAGGGACCGCGCCCTTCGCAACTGGCAATATTATCACCATTCACAGAGGTTCAACCCTGTGTCGGTTCGCGCCTATGCCTATACATTTATTACCCACCTACAGTCCTTTGCTGGCTCTATGACGACCTATGATAATCACTGACAATTAACACCCTACGGTAAGGATTAGAGCAAGAATCGTCAAAGGCCCATAAGGTAGCGGGCTTTGGACACCGCTAAGTTTAGCAAGGGATGTGCTCACAGACGCTAGTGGCTAGGCTTTGCTCTTTCTCTGGGTGGAACTTCCGCCCCTTTCTGGTCCGGGGTACAGCTGGCCCTCATCAATGCTTAGTTAGGCTTTCGGGCCTTTATTATGCCCCCGCGCAAAATCCTCTTGCATATATTTGTTATTTTTGTAAGTTTTTTATCCTGGTTGAATAGCACAACCAAACAATGAGACTTACGTATGCCCCCAATGGCCACTTACATACGGCGGAATGGTTCCTGGCACTTTCCGTGACAAAAGCAGCCAAACAAGGAGCAGTGGGATGGACGCCCACTGAAGTCATATTAGTTCCACAGTTGTTTGGAGAAGCTATAATATAACTCATTCCATACACACAGGCATACTACCAAACCCCATCATGGAGTATGACACATTCAATTCAGCCATGGTTGTGAACATCTCCGAGGAGGCATTTTAATGAGTACCTATTTACACGCAACACTTGTGCTTATAACCATTCTCTGCACCATGAGCTGGTGGGGTGGCAAGTGCCTGCCACAGGAAGAAGAGCTCCTAGGAGCCGCTTATGTATGCAAAAGCTCCAATGCCCCACCATGACCTAGTTTACCAATTGCTTCCATATCTCTTTGCTGCAGAAATACTGTAGCGTCCTGGTCTGGGCCCGAGCGACTCAGCCAGGATGGGATAATCCGCTTACTTCTGGGGGGCATGACACATTAGAGCGTGTCTGTCCCAGGCATCATGGTGACCTGACCAAAGCAAACATTTGGCATCAGCTGAGGACAATGGTACATCTGGTGTGGCCTGCACTTAACATGACGGGTAGCGCCTCGGCCACAAATAGACCCCAGACTAGCCAAACGTGCGCAGCCTTCTAGCGAATGCAGTTTGCCACGTCCTGACTGTTTTTTCCTATCTTCATGGGTCCACGTCCCTCTGACGACGCTGGGTTCTACGAGGCTCACCGTATCTGGCTTTGAACAGATGGAGCCCAATACCATTGCCCTCTAGCATATAGGCCAGGAGCCCATTGTATTAGGGCACAGTCAGGTCCTGCCAGTATTCTAATTTTGCATCACCAAGAACATAATCACCGACTACTCATTACATGCTATATAACACCCCTTAGTGCCCTGTCATGAGCTACAGGAAGCATTTCCATTGTCTCATTTGTCCTCTGTTCCCGCTTTTTGCCAGTTCTTGCAAGTGTGTTTGGGTTTATTGTATGACCATTTTCTGAATGCAGTCTTATTGTTTTGTCTACAAAGTCAAACCATGTATAAGGCACTTTTTCATCTCCGCTATGCCGGTTACTAAGTTATCAAGTGAAGACAGTGACTACCTGCAAAGTCCGGGGCCAACTCGAGTAAGCCGTACCCCCCCAGGAATCTGACCAGCCGCTTCCTTGCTCTGGGTTGTCCCCTAAATAAAGTTATTTATCACGACTTTACAACCTTTTGCAGATACAAAGGATCTATGTCCCATTAGCTAACGCCAAAAGCAAAACCATAAGCTCCTGGATGAGGCTTTGCCAGCGTAAACAGTGCGTAGACATTGCTAAATCAGGACCAAATTCCCTTAATTCAATATCAGTATACACGTCGCAAGGCTGAAGTTTTGTGGGTTAATTAAGGGAGGGTTGAGCCCCAACTAATTTTAGTCGATTTCTATGCACGATTTATCCTGTGATAATGTTGATCAACTAAAAGTTTAATAAAAGTTATCTTGTGTCTGTGCGTATTTTGCGGGGGGCTACCCCCCGGACCCCCATGTATTCCCCAACATAATTCAGCCAACATCCCCAGATACCACCCCCATGTGCACCTACAGATACCTTGGCCACGGAAAGTGAGACCTACCCCCGGGCACACCCATTACCCTTAGACAAGCAACAAGTCAACAATAACACAACGGCATCGAAATGATTCCTAAATCCGGACTTAACCGCCAGAGGGCGGTAGTGTCTTGTTGTTTAGGTCGGAAATTCATCACGTGGCTTGACTTAATCGGCGTGAGCCCGGCTTAGCATAGGAGGGCGAACCCCGCCAACCAGCGGGCCATTGCTGCGATATTATTTCTCACCCCGCCCGGCCATAAACTATTGCCTTTTGACACAAATAGGATCTTGGGTCATGTGGGGGGTATTTAATTCCTCCCCCATATCCAATAGTCTGGCATAACCGCTCTGATGAGCTTAACTAGGACCACCTATTGTTATGATGACACAAGCGTGTTTTATCGTCAATTCCTCCTTATATCAACTGAATGTAACAAGTACTCACTCCTTTCCGTCTCGCGTCTGTGCTTTGCTCATCCTACCATACATCCGCTCCTAGTGAAATTGCGTCATTCCCACTCGCCGCGACTGTATCCGTGTGATACAGTCATGTCCCACCCACCCGTACAGGAATTATCCGCCCCCGCGCCGCCTGAGGGACCTGGAGTCGCCGGTCTGCGCGGCGAGGGCGCATCCCGGCATCTGCGGCTGGGCCGTGGCTACCGATTGTATCAGTATCCGCACCGATGATTGATGCGGCCTGTGGAGCTCATTATCAGCCCCAACCCCGGTGTGCCGCGGCGCCGCTCAGTAACTGGGCCCTCGCCACCCTGCTTGCACCGTCATCCCCACCCCTCCCCCCACTGGCCCCCGCGCCGGCAGCCCGGCTGTGCGCCTCTCACGCAGGGCCCTGGGACCACACCTAGCACCCGGGCGCCGGGCTAAATCTTCTAACAGGATCACACCGCAGCCACTTTCTGTGCACCTGCACCACCCCTACGCGCGCAAGCAGTTTTAAAAACAAGCGACCCCATATGTAATTATCACCCGCCATATATGGACGTAAATAGGACTACTAGTACAACACTACGGTTAACGCGCACCTTCCGTGGGGCTTTCACGTGTCCTGTACATGATTCAGCGCCAAAACGCAGCAATATATGCACTTCCCCTTGCATTATGTCTACTTGACCACCCGCATGGGATTTAAGGTAATCTCAGAGTACGAGTACCAGACAGCTGGTAGTAGATTCCCCAGCCCCATGCACGAGAGCCTATACTGCCAAACATCCCCACCAAAGGACTCCCCATACCGCCACCCGCCCCCGACCCTCCATTCTCGAGCCGGCGAGAGGATTGACTGCACCGCTGGTTCAGCCAAGTTACCATCGTCATGTTTAATCCAAAACACACTCGTACTTGTAAGCAAACCATCTGTTTAATAACTGGATTGTCATATCACAATCGGGTTTGTCACTCAGCATCATGAGACCACCCCATATCCTAAATTCTAATCCCACCCTATCTTCACCCTGGTGCTCACGAGATAACAGAGACTTACGATCTACTTCTTGTCTTTATCCCTATATATTATCATACCCCCCCCCACGTGGTTGCATGATGTGATTAGGTCCGGTAAACCGTTCTGTGGACCTACTGGACCATATACTCTCATGTCAGTGGTGAGTCCTGGGCCCTGGCAACCTCGCGGCGCGAAAGGGCCCCCGTATCACCCCACACCCTAAACAACCCAAGGATTGGGCGATGCAACCGACCCGGACAGTCGTGAATTGTCCGCAGCACATGACGGTCTTCCTAGGTGGCGAGTGCTCGGTGCGGGCAGTCCTGATCGCGGCACCAGCAACTGTCATCGAAGCCGCCGTTTGTGGACAAAAACACAACAGGTTTAATACATGTGCCATTCCACAACGCATACCGGGCAAAAGCACCCCCCGCGCCCGCCCTACCCGCGGCAGGCCAGAACATACATTACCTCCCCCTGCGAATGCTCGCCAGATCGCGTTCCGCTTGGACCGGGGCTGTGCGTGGCACACCGACGCCCGCGTGCAGACGGATCCTCTACGGGAGACCAGACGGACTGCGGTCCAGCTGTCCTCCAAGCCGAGCTGGCGGCAAAACGACATTTGCTGGCCTTCTTGTTGGTGGGCAGCGTAGGAGGACCCCGTCCATACGTAAGCCTCTATCTACACTTAAACACCTCCGATGATGAAGTTGCGCGAGCAGCCCACAACAGGCGCAGGAAACCGCAGCCCCCACCCCGAAAGGGACCGCCCCGAGACGCCCTCCCACCAGCGACAAGCATCCTAGGACCCTTTAGCAGGTCGCGTGGACGCGGCCGCGAGGTCCGACCGCAACGGCGCACGAGATTCGCCGCTGACTACTACAGACCCGGGGCCTGGCGCGCCCCCGCTCCCCCCCCCCGAGGAGGTCCAGATGATTGTGCTGCGCAGCGGTCTGAGCACTGTGAGTGCTTCGCCGTTGCAATGTGGACGTGCACCGAATTACCCTGTTGTGTTGTTTGTCCCCGCCCGGGCTGCACGAAGCCCCGAACCACTGAAGCCGAACAAGGAGCACCGCCCCCGAGCACCGCGCCCCCCCCCCGGCCGCCGCTTTCAGCGGCCACCCCCGGGCAGACGGGTCCGTATAAACACATCCACACCCTAAGTGTACCCGGATGAGAGAGGAGTCCATTCGGGCCTCGCTTGATCCGCGGGGACAGGCCCCCCCCCATGCCCTGCAGATGTAGATGGACCCGTTGTCCCCATAGAGGGGATAGCCCGGGGCCCCCCAACATATCGAGCACCCCCGCGAAAGGTTGAATAGATTTTGGGGAACGCCAGATAGAGCGAACGTAATGTCTCTGAAATGCTCTATGTACTCACCTGTACTAGAGCACTATTGATAAAAGACTTTAGTAAATTATTCTCAGCCTTCAGGAGACCCCCCGGTCAAGTCTCTACAAAGCCTCAGTGCACATACTAGATAACTACCCAAGTACTCAAGTGTATTAACTAACACACCCGCCAATATATCCCTGCTATACCCATATAATCCAACAATAACTCTCTCACTACACGCCAATGGATATGATTGGGTAGCAGTAGCGATATGCAGTGTTCGGCCCCAAGTACGGCTATGCAGATGCAGCTCTAGTCATGAGTCGTGTACACACCGGCTACTTGCGCTCAATCTCCGCGAAAACCTAAATCCACGTGGAGGTCATCCTGAAAACCGCCAAAGAATCAACCCGCAATGTATGGGCAACACTCCTGACCTTCCCGAGCACGCCCCCATTCGAGCTCAAACCCATAGATACAACCCTAGCCCTATACCCAGCCCCCGGCCCGGTAGAGCCCCCCACCATATAGAATCACGCACTAACACCCAGCTTCACACGCGTGTGTGTGGCAGCTGCACGCGTACAAGAGGCTGCAGTGGAGCACCAAACACGAAAACTCCCGTCTCCCCCCCCCCCCCCCCTGAGCAAAGATAACCCAAACCTGCGGTGAGAGGCGCCCCGAGCGCCAGAGCGCGGGGCCCGAGAGAGGCAAGATGTATGTGAGACTCGCATTTGAGCCCAGGGCAGGGGCGGGCGGGGGGCCCGCAGAGCGGCGCCTCGGCCACCTGGGGCAGAACCAGTTAAAAAGCTCCACCTAACCATCAACACACAGCTTGACTTGCCACCATACCCACACCGAACACCCGGGCCAGGGCCGCTGGGCCGGGCAGCGGCCCGCTCCCGAGGCGCGCGCTGGCGGCCACATATCCCCCCGTGTGCGCTATTTTCATATTCCTTCTTATGTTGACCTTCCTTATAGCACGCTTACCAGGCCTGCTAGCACAGCACGATATAGCAACCCGCACTATCCATAGGCGCGGAATGTCTGCCGGAGATCACATCACAGACTGCGATCGGGCCAGTCATTCTTCCATGTACTTCCTGTTGAAATCCTTATAATCCATATCTCTCAACCCGCCTAAATAATATCCCAACCACCCAATATGAGGACCCTTGATCCGGCCTCATCCGATCGCTTAACGTCCAGGCCATCTTTCCCTGGTTGTCTGCATTAATCCCCCCCATGACGCACGATCCTATATGTCAAAGGCAATAGTTTCATTCCTGTCTTTTGATTAAATAAACTCCTCAAAGACCCTCTTTCTGTCCCGGTGTTAGGCCCTCCTATGGCTAAGCCTGGTCAAGCCGCAACAGTCAAGCCCCGATGAGAATTTCGCCCAAAACACATCGCACACTACCGCCTCTGCTGGTAAGGTCTGCCCTAGTATTCCAGTCCCATTTCTCATGGCAGATAGAGATCAATGGTGGCCAATTAGCCAAGGTCACAAGACAGTATAGTCTATCCATGAGTGTCGAGATCACAGCCCCTTAGGGCCGTAGTCCCGTCTCAAAAATCCCACTATGTAGCCTTAAAAGAAGACATGCAACCCTCTGAAGGGCCACGAGACCCGATAGCCCCCCCAGAATAACGGCCGACCAACGCTAACAATTAACTAAAACACTATTACTTTCCCCCCAAATCCCCCGGAACATCTTGCCTCTAACTCTCCACACAATTGTATTGTTTCCCCCACCTACCAACCCCCCCCACCTCCAGCCCTGTGCGAATTGATACACCTGCACTTATGCATTATAATGTGCTGTTTGTCCGATATAGCCATATCACCTTTTTATTTTAACCGTACCACTTATCAAGCACACATACCCACCCCCTATCACCACATATAACATTCCTATTTACACTACACACTTTACAACGCACCCCCGCCTTTTCACAACAGGTGTGGTCACCCAAACTTAGACCCCACCAGCCCCCTTGCCCCCCCCGCGCCGGGCCTGGCTGATCAGCGGCATGAAGGTGCCCGCCCCCCCGGGCGTAGCAGCCATTACAGTACATATCATGGCCCTACCCCAACCCACAATAATAACACCTGACCGCAAATATCTTAGGCGTAAACAGTGCCAAACACCTGACCTGCCTAGCACCCAACACCCCAACAACCCCGCCCAATACGCCCACAGGTTCCTACCCCCATCACCCCCCCCCCACCCTAGCCTAACTGCACCGCGACCCCAGAAAATCCACCGATCCAATGTATGCCTGCCACTCACTATCCCTGAGCCCTATCAAGGGTTTTCTACAAAGCCAGTACGATCTATTCTGTAGACTCTTACAAATTATATTACAAACATCTAAAACTGCAGTCCATTACTTTTGCCCTAAACCCACCGGTTCCTGTATGAACAGCCTCGCGGCAAATGTTATTGCTCCACTAGTACAAAGCCTACTGAGGAGCACTATAGAACCCTCGACTTAGTCAGAATGCCTTCCCACATCTAAGACAAGACAACGACACAGTTTGCACAGGGCCACCGACTATCCCGACAGGCACATCTACCCGCCAAACCAGTTCCCCACATATGAGATAATCCACAACAGCAAACTACAGTCCAGAGCAACCCCCGCCAGATGTCCCATAGACCCTCGATGACGCCCCTGAAGAAGGGTATTTCCATGATGCTGGCACCATATCAGCTGCAGACAGGTCATATTCCAGAACGACTGGCACCATCCTAGGCAGGCGGACATATCAGTCCCGCTCGGCTTCAACCGTAATTCTTGCACACCGGGCCTGGCACGGCATAGGAGCCACCCTGATACCGTTGGGTGCGAACATCATAGCCTCCCCCATACAGCACCGTGCGCACTCTTCCCGTGCAGACACCCACCCCCCCACCACACAGGTGCAGATGAGAGGGATGCAACCTGCCAGGAGATAACGTACCGAAGACCCACCCCCCACTGAGCATATACCCGGGTAGTACTGCATTGCATGTTCATTACACAGATGGAACGTGGTACTGGTATGCCAATTATTGCCTGGCACCGGATTACAGCTTATCGATCTCCCCACAACAGAGGAACACCACTACCATCATGCGTAGCTACAACCCAGCACATGTATGGCCTGCCATAAATGTCACATACAAGTCCGTGACCATTCAACAGTATAATACCATGCCCATTATAGTCCCACTTACTACTCATATGACAAAAAAACACAACCCCCCGTGCTCCCACCACCCCCCCCCACAAACACCCAACAAATCACGCTTCAAATCACATTTGCAAAAGTGCCTACTCCAAGAAACTTGCGCTATCCTCGCTTCCCGCATCCGGGACATGGTGGGGGCAGTTCCACGAGAAGCGCGCAAGCTCCCTCTACTCGGGCGACACACCCCCCTCCACATATCTTTACCAAAGCCCTCACCTTTAGGTTCCTTTGACTAGTTCTAGCTTCCCCATACCCTAATTTTGTTTTGTCATGCTAAACAAGTGTGTACATAGCGCCCGAGCCGACGGTTTGAGACTACCGCCTTAGGCCAGGGCCCGTGGAGCCCAGTAAGCACCCTCAGTGAGTGTGGATCCTCCCTCACCATCATATTCGTATACTCTTCCACCATTGTTTAATACTAAATCCTCCCACCTTCCTGCAGAAATCTGCCCCCCCCGCCCATATCCCAACCCGTGGTTAATCAATTCCTAATTGTTGCACAGATGCCCTGAGGCGGATGAGGCGAGGCAAACCAGTCCCGAATGTATACCTCCACCATCAATCAATCATGACCACATACATCGTACTAGGCAATGTGGGTGCCGCCTGGCTAACGGATACCCCCGGAGGATATACATGCCGGTGGTGCCACCAATGCTCTCGAGGCACCCTGCCAACCAAAGTCCCCATACTCCAACCCATCATGTCAGCTCCCTATTTTAATCTCAATATGCAGGCTTTCCTTGGACCCCTTGCCATACGACGTATAACAGCCGCCCCCCACACCACCTTCTTTTTCCTCCAGGGCGGGGGGGGGCTAAGCGTACAGCCACTTCAGTGCAGTCACTGGTCGGGTCCCATAGGCATTCTAGCCCTTCAAAGGGTTACAAGCCATAAGAGATTGCATCTGGCCCCTTTGCCCCGCACCCGCCCAACAGGACCCGGTACCCATGGGGCTTTGATTCTATCCTAGACATCCACAAAAGTCTGGCGTACCCAGAAGTGGGCCAGCTGCTGTGGGATATGACGCTGTGCCACCCCCTGCTCTGATTTATAAAGCTTCATCCTTCCAAAAACCTAGTTATGCCGAAAGCACCACACATACATGTTCCGTGGCCTGGTGCCCAGAAGCGCCTATCCATGGTCAGGAGGTGGTCCCAGAGGCCCCTGGAGGTATTCCTGCCTACCGCCCATCACAAGTAAAGGGAGGGCCGCATCGTCAGGCCTCGGTTTCGATGAGCTCTTCCTCGAGTGGCCCACACACGCGGATCCCTGTTGGTTCATACCTAAAAAGCCAACACAAGACCCCCCAGATCCCGATAGCAAGGTAATCGCCGTCCCTAACCCAAGCAATTTAACGTGTACTGACCCCACCATAGTTGCTTCCATCGTTGCAGCTTTGTTGCCAGACTGGTAATCGTGGGCTGTCAATTCCTGTGGTGCTATGCATTTGGAAGGTGGACTAAAGCCTCAGTGGTCCTGGCTTGCAGCTGTTGCTGTGTTGCTGCGCTGCTGCTGCTGTTAAGTCATCCTCAACCGCTGCTCTTCATCTGCCGGAGTCATCCTCTCTCTATTCAAATGGAAAATCAAATCCTTAATAATCCGTGTACAATCCGTGTACCATTCAATCATTAGAGTTCCGTTTCAAAAGCAAATCATAAAAAACAAAATTACGTGGTTGTATATATTGTATTTCCATTTTCAAAATTAAAATGGAAAATCAAAACATTTAAATGAAAATATTCACGACCATTTCTTGCTATGCAGTGAAACAAACACTCTAAAACAACGTCAATTATATTGTATGATATGCAACCCGGAAATGATGAGTGGTGATGAGACGGAAACAACTCTCAAGCTGCAACTCAACGCAACTCAACTACACGACCAACAACTCGTAAGCTGTTGTTGACACTTCCCCAGTCCCTAGCTCCAGGGCAAAATTGCATACATCCCCTGGGTAAGTTTCCAGGCTGTCTCCAATCCCAAGTAAATGGGGAAACTTTGTGGGCGCTGCTCTAAACAGAGAGAGCCGGCTTTCTCCATTCAGGTCTGATTACATACGCACACGGTAAGTCTCCTCTATAAGACACAGCTGTTTTAGTGGCTTCTATATGTTTTCCACTCCATAAATCTCTCATATTGTGGCGAAGATCGTTCACACACCCGTCTGTATTTAAATCTCGAGTGTGTAGTGCGCTGTTTATGATTGTTACCTCCGTGTCAATATTGGTAATTTAGCAGCTGCTCTGTGAGATCTCTCTGTTTGGATCAATAAATGTAAAAGAAAACACTTTCTCCTGCGTTGTACAAATAAATCTCTATTCACTGTATTCTACTGTAACAGTAATTCAGTTTGATTACGTCTGGTTGTAGTAGTATATCAGCGCTAGCTAATTATTATTAGCTAATTAATTGTTGATGTGTGTAACTATCACTATTTACTTTCACATTTCTATAGTTTCAGCAACACATTGAGTTTAAAATGACTTATATTCAGTTAGTTTAACGACAATGTATAGTGTTTTACCAGTTTCATATTTTCCTTCTATAACTGTACTTACAGTATCCCAAGCCTCATGCTGCTAATTGTCCAGAAGTAAACATACAACGGTATATGTCTCTCTAGATTATACAGATACATGCTTCCTTTATAATGCAAATGTAATAATTTTATTCTGTATTATCTAAAAGATATTAATACATTATACATAATCTCTATCAGCGATAGCTAATAATTTATGATCTTTTTTTGTTGATGCAGACATATGAATCAAACAATCAATCAAAGTTTATTTGTAGAGCCCTTTCATGCACATGGCAAACACAAAGCGCTACACACACAAACAATCACAATCATCACATAAAGACAAACACCAAATACAATTAAAACATTAAAAATCACACAAAAGATAAAACACAATAAAAACAATAACATCACACAACAGAATAAAACCATTAACATATTCAAAGTTACACAAAAAAATTCAAAAAATAAATAAATAAATGTACAGCAGTGCATTACAAATGAGAAAAAAACCTTCAGAATGTATGCCAGCAAAACAGACATCTTTAACCTGGATTGTGAACCTTGGACAGAGTAGACGCCTCCCCAATTTTCAGGGAGATTGTTCAGAACTTAGACTGCATAGATCTGAAACGCAGCCTCCCCATGTTTGGTTCTCACTCTGGCAACCAGCAGGAGCCATCCCTGTGCTTCCTCCAGAGTCCGGGCTGGTTCATATACCCCAAACAATGTCACTAAAGTGATTCTGGGTGCCAAGGCCAAGGAAGAGACTTGTACACAAGCAGAGCTGTTTTTACAATATCTATTCTTTTGAGCCACATAACCGTTCAAGAGACTGAGACCGGACTAATATGGGTCATACTTCCTGGTTCCCTGTCAGGACTCTAGCTGCAGCATTTTGGGATTTAACAGCAGCTTGCTTACAAGGTCTGTTTGGACAGACCTGTAAGCAGGCCATTGCAGTAGTCTAGCCTGCAGGAGACAAATGCTGGACAAGAATCTCCAAGTCTGCCCTGGACACTAATTTCTGACTTTTGGACAATGTTCTTCAGATGGTAAAAAGGCTGTTGATGTTATAGATTTTTATGTGCCTATTAAATTTAGGTCTGAGTCCAGTATTACCCCCAAATTTCTGACCTGTCTGAAGGAAGTAGGGAATAGACTGAAGTCTTGACAGATGACGGCCCTCTCTATGTTTCTGGGACCAAAGACCAATTGGATTTTCGTTTTTGTCTGCATTAGCTGAGGAAATTATTTTGCCTCCACACACTGATCTGTTGGATACAGTGAAGGAGCAAATCCGTGGTCCATGTTTCTCCTGCAAGTCATGAACAAAGATCTGTGTGTCGTCGGCGTAATTGTGGTAGGAACACCTATTGTTTCTATGGTAATAACAGACCTAACGGCAGCAAGTAGAGAAATAAATAGGAGAGATCCAGGTATCGACCCCTGTGGTACTCCACAGGTCAGTGCCACATGATCTGATTACGCAGTCTCCATCTCCACACAGTACTTCCTATCCTCCAGGTATAGACCTAAACCTCTAGTGGCTGTGCCAGTGTACACCAACCCAGATCCTCACATTCCTCTGCATGAGATCACATGTCGACAGGTGTCAACGCGGCATAAAGATCTAACATACCAAACTGTGCCTTTTCCCTGCATCAGTGAAGTCGAATGTCGATTGTTACCTTCACTAGAGCGACTCAGTGCTGTGGTAGGGGTCTAAAACCCAGACAGGAAACATATCAAAAGAATTATTCATTGTTAAGACAATTCAGTAAGTTTGTTGGGAGGCCACTTTTAAGAATTTTATCCAATGGAATGGCAGATTCGAATTAAGGGGCGATAATTTGGTGAAGTCCCCCGCAGGATCCAGACTGCTCTTTTTAGGAGAGGTCTTAAGACTGCTGCTTATGGCCATAGGAAATGTTCCCTGACACAGAGACTAGTTTACTATTTGTGTCAGTGAAGGTAACAAACGCTCAGGACGGACTTCAGAAATTTAGAGGCAATATATCCAGGCTACATGTGGAGACTCAGACTCATGATTATCTTTTTGACAGTTTCAGTAACCACAGGTGCAAAAGTGAGTTAGCACAAAAAGCTCTCTGGCTGTTTGCATTGTTAAACGTGCTGTGGAGGTTAATAGTGTTTTTGATTCCTTGAACATTGTCCATCGACAAACGTGCGAACGTCATTACACCTAGAATAGAGGAAAATCTAGGCAACTTTACAGGGGGTTTCGTTAATCACCAACAGTTGAAAACATAACACGAAAATTGTTACTGCAACCTCAATAATGTACAGAAAAATACATTTCTCTGTTCACGTAGAACCGGTAAATTCCACCCAACTCATCTTATAAAGTTTTCAAAATCGCCCTGGAAATTGGACTTTCGCCACTTCCCGTTCGGCCCTGCCGGCACTCTGCTTTCTGTGCCTGACCGATCTGCCTAGTCCATGGGGCCTTTTTCTTACTGGTACTATTTTAACCGACACCAGGAGCAATGGCGTCCAGAACATTCAGAACACTGGTGGTACAGAGTTATACAATTCATCAACAGAAGAGCATGAGTTTTCTCTCAACATTAGCATTCCCATGAACAGTTTTCACCTGTGTTTTTCATGTATGTGTCTTCCTTCTACGCAATTGTAAATTCAGCTGGTGTTTTGCTAGCAAAACACATGTCAAAAAATACACAGAAATGATCTACAAAGGACAACACAGACTACATTAAACATTTGATACATTAACCCCCTTTGTAATTAGCAGGTCAAGAGTGTCCCCCTGCTGTGGGTGGGCCCCCACTCATCGTGCTGACTGAAACCAAAGGACTCAAGTACAAGAAGCCAGCTCCTTGCATTTCTGTCATCAACAATATCAACATGTAACATTAAAATTCGCCTGTACTAACTAACTATTCAAAATCTGTAGCACACGAATGAAAGTATTCAGTAAAATGGTCAATAAATCGCAACATGACTGTGGTGGGCCTGTACAAGGAAATATATGAAGACATTTTCATTCTTTCCTGGCCGCGTCCCAGTGATTTTTCACAAGGGCCCACGATATTCCTGCTGCAGGACCCTTGGAGAGGGGCGCGGAAGATCAGGGACGACCCTCCATGAGGAGTGGCGGTGCTCCTCAAGGGAGGAGGTGATGAGGAGAACGCGCCACACTCTGGTGCGAGTGAGAGGAGGTGATGCCTCAGACAAGGCTGAAGTGCTGGGGGATACATCGCTCACAGCAGCAGTAAGACCTGCACAGTGCCTGTTGTCCACCATGCCCCCTGCATCAGTGGAACCCCCCTCCTCCTGCTCAGACTCATGTCACCGCTGTCTGAGGAGGCCATAGAGAAGGTTGTGCAGCGAATCTAGAAAAGCAGCAGCAGCCCTCCAGCAAAGTAAACCCCACACAGAAGAAATGCCTGTCATGTGGCCATCCAAAATCCCAATAGATGGGCGATGGCACACCCTCACGAGTTTTACCAGCCGGGACCCTACCAGTATTTCCGACTGCTCCCCCAAGGTCTATAACACCTAACGCACAGAGGGTTTGACCCAACTCCAGGATGCCATTCCGAGACTTTAGGACACTGAGTTCTGCCAGAGAGAGCTGGAGGCCACGCAGCAGAGAGCGAAAGAGCGGCAGGAGAAGAACAGGAAGAGTGATGAGTCTCCTCCTCCACTGGGAGAAAAGTGCTGGTTCTGCAAACTGCAGCTGAAGCAGGACCAGTCTCACATTCAAACACAA